ACACACACACACACACAAATAGTAAATAAATAATTGTAAAATATAGTTTGCATGCTTTTCAAACTAAAAGGGCAGAAACCAAGTCAGATTGTTCCAAAAGAGATTGCCTCAAGACAGGAAGTCAAGAGAATGCCAGCTGTCTCTGAAGGCCTTGTGAGACTATTCTGAACAACAGGGGAGTTTGAGGCTGAATTACACAAACTGGAAGAAGACCAATTTCTCTTGTAAAGGGCCAGATAAACATTTTAGGTTTATTAGTCTTCATCCAGCAACCTCGTTCATCTGTCTGACGGTGAAAGCATGTATAGACAGTATGCAAAGAGATGGCTTTGCTGCCCTTCAGCAAGAGGAGACCAACAGAGCCATAAAAACTGAGCCCTGGGGGCACTGAAGAGAATGATACCCCAACCAAGGACAATGCATGGAGAGAACCTAAAAACCCAGCTCAGATGTGGCCCGTAGACTCAGTCTACAAATGGGGTCTCTAGTAAGGGGAGCAGGGGCTTTCTCTGGCATGAACTCAGTGGCCTACTCTCTAATCACCTCCCCCCGGGGGGTGCAGCCTTGCCAGGCCACAGAGGAAGACAATGCAGCCAGCCCTGGTGAGACCTGATAGGCTAGGGTCAAATAGAAAGGGAGGAGGACCTCCCCTATCAGTGGATTAGGGGAGGGGCACGGGGGAGAAGAGGAAAGGAGGGTGGGATTGAGAGAAGATGAGGCATGGCCCACAGCCAGGATAAAAATTGAATAAATTGTAATAAATCATAATAATAAATATGTAAAAAATAAAGAAAGAAAAGAAAAAAAAGACTCAATATTTCCAGCCTCACACACACGCACACACACACACACACACACACACACACACAAAAGAAGCAGGTAGCTATATTTGACCCAAAAGCTACAGTTTTCAACTGCTCCCACTATAAGCACAAAGAAAACTCAGCAAGTACGTGAACATGGAAGCTGTTTACACATTATAACTTCGAGGGAAGATAAAGAGCAGTGCAGAAAAGAAAATGTTATCAAGGCCCCCGTAATCAGAAGAGTGTTTGCACAATCGCAGGAATGCAGTCGCTGGCTCGCTTTGCCCCTCACATACCAATATGTCCATATTTGGAGTATGGAGAAGTGGGAGGTATGCAAACATGATAAGCGCCGGGTAGAATAGTGAGAGAAAGTCAGGTCTTCACGTTTTCTAGTGCGAGCTAATGTCTCAAAGGAAAACCTCAGGAAGCAGCCATGGTGACCAGCTGCTCAGTCTAACCTCAGCTACGCTTCACGGAGAAAATGTGCTTGGAGGGATAAGAAGAACGAAGGGACAGTGTTACCAGTGCTGAAGGTCTAGGTTGAGTCTTCCAGGCTCTTGGCCTCCTATCCAAGATGAAACAAGGACTCAACACAGGTGACCAAGGTAGCAAAGTAACCTCATTCGGAGCAAAGCAATGCTATAGGTGAGAGAGGAATACACTGTCCAAAATGACAGCAGGTCGCATGACAGAGTACTCAAGGGCCTGATTATTGCTTCAAGAGAAGGAGTTTGATTATGAAGACGCGTAATAACGGTGCTTCTCTGTTTTGATTGATAGGCCGTACAACTGTTTTTTTTCTATTGCTCATGCCCCTTCCTTTGACGCATGTGATCTTAATTATGTGCACGCCCCATTACACACAGACATAAGATGACAAATAGGGGATTCTTCCTAAAAGTTCACTTTAGCACACTGTTTTGCCTCTCTGCACATATTCCAAGAACCAATTCAGGGAAGACTGGCCCTCCTCCTCTTAGACCAGGAGGTACGGGGGAGAGATTTGAATAGACATTGTCCAAGGTTGATGCTCATTAGGAGAGGAGAAACCTATTTCATTGTTCAGAAGGGATTGTGCGTGTAAACTCACACAGGTGGGCGGTCCTACGTGGCTGGGCGCATTGTCCAGAAACTGTTGAATGCATGGCATGTGGCTCTAAAGAAATCTGGGCTGCCGGGTGCATTATTAAAGAGAAGTGCGCAAAACCTAAACTAAGCAAAGTCCCAGGTTGCTCAGCTCTTCCCCATGCTTGCCTGCCTGGGTAGATGTTACTGTGCTAGGCAGTAATACCCATGAGAGTTGTGGCGTCGTTATAGAGGACATTGCCCCCAAGGATGTTTAAAAGCGAACACCAACAAAGTACGGAAATTCCTCTCTTCATGGTGTAACAAGAATTTCTGAGCATCTACTAGAAATGCAGGTACTGGTGTTAGCTCCTTCGAAAAATGTGTCAAATATCCATTGCCACATCTGGCAGGGCATCACTAGAGGTCAGGCCTGTGTCAGGTGACACAAGGCTTGTGCCTCCAGGCCAAACTCTGAGCCATTGCATAAGTCAACACAGGCAGAGAAGGAAGACTGGGTGTGCAAACGGAGACTCTATGCCACACGCAGCTGGCACGAGCTCTTCTCTAGTGCAAGTTGTGACTTCTCACCAGATTTGCGGGATGTCAGAGGCGAGGTTGGGGAGGTCCTCTGACCATTCAGGTTTAGTGGTTCCAACAATCACATTTGACATTTTCATAAAGTCTAAATGAAGGAATCCCTTTTCAGCATTATGTTGAAATGAATAGTGAAGTGGTGACTTGGAATTTTTCTATTACCCACCCTTCCCTGGAATGACCCCTCCTACTCCATCTGAGGTACCCACAGTGTAACAAGCTATGAGCACAGATTGTCAGTGCAGACTTCGAGCACATGCTGGGTAGAAATGGAACACGGGCTAAGTATTCATACAAAATCAGGACAGTCCTAACGGGACTGAAGGAAGTAGGGTGTGACAGTGGGGAGAGAACAGAGGAGGCAACCAGACTGGCTCTGTTGCCTGAGATCATGGAGAATCATTTGGTCTGAGGTTGAGAGGAAAAAGTCAATGACCTTGTGCATGAATAGAGGTGGACGAGAGAAACCACAAATGATATGGAGCTTCATGAAAGCTAAGTCAATGCTCGCTAACTGTCCAGTGTCATTCTGAAGAAAGCCACCGCCACCATGGACACACAGCAGCTGATCTCATCACTGACAAAAGCCTTTTTTTAATTCATTGTGAATTTCACATCATGTATCCCAGTCCTGCTCATCTCCCTGTCCCCTCCGATCTGCCCTTTGCCTTTTCAACCCCCTCCCAAAATAACAAACAAAGCATAGAAAACGTCTCGTTGTAGAAGCTGTAGTATGTCACAGTATGTCTGTCCCACAATACACCCCTCTATCCACACATCTTCACTTGCAAATGTTCATTGCAGGGGGCCATTGGTCTGGTTTGAGATCTCTGGCTTCTGGGACACCGTCAATATTGGACCCTCATCAGGACTCCTCCCGTTATCCTGTTGCTTCCTTGTGTCATGGAGATCCTGCAGCTTTGGAAGGAAGGACTGGCTCTTTCACATATCCCAACTATTTGCAGATGATATAGATTTTGGGGTGGGCCTATGCGGAGCCCTGGATCTGGGCCTGGGTAATAGCTGAGCTGGTCAGCTCACCTACTCTTCCTTACCCGCACCACCAGGGCAAGCTCCCCAGCATTTCCCCAGCAAAGCCACCCGAGGCCACCATCAGTAGGAGTCAGGGTCAGCTCTCCTGCTCCCTCCCTTTGGGGCTGGCTCGTCCACACCCACACCTCCGGAGCCAGCTCCACTGTGCTGCCCAGTCAAAGTTCGGGGCCGCTCTCCCAAGTGGTCTGTGGTCTGTGAGGGACTGGCAGAGATCTCCAGCTCTCACACCCTCGTGGCCCGCTCACCCCATGCTTTCACCGTCACAGCCAGCTCCCCTGTGTTGCCCACGTGAGATGCAAGGCCTGCTCTCCTGAGTGCTACAGCCGCTGAGGGGTCAGGGCAAACTCTCCCGCTCTCATGACCCCAGGGCCAGCTCTCCTGGCTACTGCAGGTGTTGAGGGGAAGGGGAAGGGCATCACCCCTGTGCCCACACCACTGGAGGGGCCAGCTCTCCGGCACTCTCGCCCTCCAACAGGGTCAGCTCCACTATGTTGCACAGATGAGGTGCAGGGCTTACTCTTCTGAAGGCTGCAGCCAGTGAGCAGCAGGGCCAGCTCATCTACTCTCATGACTCCAGGGTCAGCTGTTCTGACTGCCTCATGTGGTGAGGGGCAAGGGGGCAAAGGGCATCTCCCCCTGCCCAGGCCACCTCACAGCAGATGAGTGGCTCAGCCAGCTTTTCCTCTTGGGCCTAGTTCACTTGCATTCCCTGCCACCAGGGTCAGCTGTGCTCTGCTGTCCAGGAAAGGTACAGGGCCCACTCTCCTGAGGGTGCTACCCCACAACAAACAAGTGCCAGGATCAGCTCTCCCCACCTCACAGCCTTGGAGCTGGCTCAGCCACATCTCTGCAGCCGGGACCAGCTCTACTATGCTGCCCGGCTAAGGAGCAGGGCTAGCTCTCCCGAGCGAGTGCTGCCACAGGTGAGAAATGGGGCCAGCTCTCCAGAATGCCACCTCCAGTGAGGGGTGGGGCCAGTTGTGCATAACCCCTGAACATCCGCTTAGCCCTCCTGGCTCCCTCTCAACCAGGGATGTCCCTGTGTTCTCTAGTAAGGGTACGAGCCACAGACTCTAACACCAACCACTGGTGCTGCATAGCCACAGACTCAGACTCAGTGGCAGCTTGGGCTGGGACTTCACCATGGCCCCTGTGACAGGGCTGGCCACTCACAAAAGGCTGCCCTTCCTCATCCTCAAGTCTCCAGTTCCATCTCTCTCCACAAGGCTCAGGGTGCTCCACTCTCTTTCTCTCCCTTCTGACCCTTACATACTTGCACATTGTGGTGGCTCCCGCTGCAGGCTGGCCACGCCACTCACTGGAAGGCCTCTGGGCAACGAATTTCATCTGAGCTGCATGGTGTGGCATCAAGCAGGCGTCTACGGCCCCCCTGGGTGGAGGGCAGGTCTGTGGGTGGTCCACAGGTCTTTGTCAGTCTTCCTCCTGCTGCATTGTGCTGGCTAGAGTTGATTTGATTTTTGAGTCCTAGGCATAAGACAGCTCTGGCCACCAAAGCAGACTCCAAGCTAGAATGAACAAAGGACTGCCATCTGCTCTGCCCCTCACTGATATCAGAACAACTCCACCAACAAAGTGTATCTTTGCCTATTCCCGGGGTGGGGGCGGCACCGACAAAAGCGTATACATGTCTAAGAGGCTGGCATCTCTCCCCAGAGCCTGCTGAATCCCATAGCAACTGACCCTTGAAGATTTCCCAGAAAGCTTTGAATCTGTGGCACTCAAGAGGGGTCATGAAAGAAAGAAGTCCCCTCAGAAGCCGGGTTAAATGTGCTCCAGTGGCAGGCACTTAGCCCGGGCGTCTTGTTCTCACTGCCGGGCTACCTGATGGGCATCCTTTAAGGCGTTCAGTATTAAGGAGATATTTTTGTTGCCGTCTGCTTGTTCTAAAATCTGCTGCTGTGTGTGAAGAGGAACATTTTCCGCTCCCACTTTCCTATGTGAAGCATAGGGGAACAGGTGGAACAGTTCCCCCTAGGGACTTCTGTTAGTCTCTGATTTCAATGAAGGGTTTATCAGCAACAGAGATCCCGCTGGGGTTCAGTTGATATCCAGGTGAGAGCTTAAAGCCAGATAGGAGGCCAAGCATCCAAAGCCACAGCAGAAAGGAAAGAATGTCTCCCTTTGGGTGCCTGGAGTATCTAAGTATTTGTGTGCTATTCTCATAATAGGGACTTGAGGGTTAAAGTTCTAGCGCAACCCCGGGCACTAGCTCACTATTCACCCAGAATTTGTAGCCAATACTGCACTGTAGGTTTAACACTATATCTGCCTCATAAATATGCACTCCTCAAAATTAATAAGCACAGAAGACTCTAAGTTTAACAATCCTGCACCTCTTCATCAAGAAGTTTTCTCAGAGATGAGAATATTGTAACCATTTTTTAATAGGATAGGCAAGCAATGGTCCAGTCATAAATCTGTTAAACCAAACGAGTTCACACCCCCAACTGCAAGAGGACAATGTTGCCAGGGAGAGGCTCAGGTATTCCTACCGCCTATGACAGGACTGTGTGTCAATCAATGTGTCATTAGGAAAGAAAGTTCCAGGGTGGACTACACCTAAAAGGGACATCAGGTCCTAAGTGGAATAGTACGGCTCTGGGGAGATACTGTTTGGTTATAAATGTGTAGGTTATAAACAGTGGCGAAGGACAGACAGGCTGATTTAGGTCTGAGGCAATTTCTAATAAATTCCTAGGCACCTTTTTATGACCTCACCAAACCAGCAGTTCCAGGCACAGCAGCTGTGCCCCGTGGCTTAAATAGACTGCGTTATCAAGTCTTAACAAATGACGTGTCAGCCATGAGTTGTGAACACAGAATGCTGGGGGAACATGAAACACGGAAGGGAGCTAAGGGGGGGAGCAATAGTGAGTAAATAGGGAATAGATAATACTGGGCCTGGAGAGATGGCTCAGTTGATAAAGGCCTTGTCGTGCACGCATAGAAGCAGAAGAACCTAAGTTTGGTCCTCAGCACCTACAGATAAATAAGCAAACAGATAAATAAAAGAAATAATAAAGATTAAAGAGCCAGGCATGACATGTCTTTGCAATCAGAGGCTGGAACAAACCGGACCTCTAGGGCTCAGGGACCAGACAGCTTGGCCTACCAAGATGGATGCTCCTGAAGGATGGGAGTCAAGGTTGTCCTTTGGCTTTTATGTGCACATGCAACTGCAAACACATGTGCACCCCACACACATGAAGAGGTACACACAGATACACATATACACACACACTTTCATAAACATCTTTAATACACTTAAAGTCAGGAAAAGAACCATATCATTAAAGTTGAAAACCACTTAGAGATGATCTAACCCTGGTTTCTCTGTTCTAACAATGGAATAAAGTTGTATTTTCTTTCCTTTTTTTTAAGATTTACTTATTTATTATATATATATAATAATATATATATATAATATATATATATTATATATATATATGCCTACACACCAGAAGAGGGCACCAGATCTCATTATAGATAGATGTGAGGCACCATGTGGTTGCTGGGAACTGAACTCCAGACCTCTAGAAGAGCAGACAGTGCTCTTAACCATTGAGCCATCTCTCCAGCCCAAGCTGCCATTTTCTTAATGTCCCATAAAGTTTTTTTTTTTAAATTTCCTGTTATACTTGTTTCACTGTCCTCTTCCAGCCTTCATCATTTGTCTTGGATCTCCAGATTGCCCTTCTAGTCCTTGGTTAACAAGGAGCTTCAGTGGTATAAACCCAGGCCTCTACTTTCTCCAGGGATAGCAACCCTTCAAGCCTCCACACAGCACACAGAGGAAGTGAATAGAAACACTGCACATTGCTCTTGGTGGCTTTATGGGCTAAGTAAATGAGTAGCCAGGCTATCTGCAAATCATTTCCTGATTTCAAAGATGCAGGAAGAGCCCCACAAGCCTCACCCTTTTGGGAGGCTGAGATTTCCTTGTAGAAGAAAGGAAAAGAGTAACGTGCTGCAAAGCAAACCAGAACAGGCATGCTGGGGACAGAGCTGTGGCTGGCAAGTGTCTGCACTGAGTTCCAGGTAGGGACCAGCAAACAAGTGCAGGATCAACTTTAGAATTACATGTGGTCACTTTGGGCGATATAAATGTCCTTATTTCGGTATTATTTATTATCTACTCCAAGTCAATCAACACTTTGTACCTGAAGAAGGAGGGTGGAAATGGGGTCCCCAAATCCAGTTATGGTGCTGCATGTTTGAAATCAGGAGACTAAGCCAGAAGAAACGCTTTGAGTTCAGGGCTAATATAGACTGCATAGCAACACCTTGTCTAAGAACAAAAGGGAAGAAGGAAGAGAATGGAGGAAGAAGAGAGGGAGGGAGAGAGAAAGGAAAGAAGGGAGATGAAGAAAGAAAGAAAGTGAGGGAAGGAGACAGATCTACAAAGTCCTTCACTCTATCCTTGTAAACACAAACATCGCCCTCCCGACCATTCTTTCACAGTTCCTCCACTATCCCACATTCCATACCTTTTCAAATACCTCCAATATCCTCTCCCCCTTCCTGCTTGCTTCCAGCACTATCCCATTTGCCTAGGCTGTCATTATCTCCTTCCTACACCAGTTTTCTGACATACATTGAGTCCTCTTTCAATTCACAACCTTCACTATGGCCTGATCATAGTTTCTAAAGGTCCAGTTTCTCCTGGGTAGTTCTGTTCTCCAAATCTTCACAGCCACTCACCTCCACCCCAAACTCCCTGATTGACCTGTCTCCACTTTCATGTTGTGGCTATGCCTCTGCAGTCTAAACTTCAGCATCAAAAATGCTTCCTAGAAGCAATTTTAAACCCATGTTTGTCTCTGAACTACAAACCGGGCACATTTACACCCAGAAAAAAAGGATTCAGGGGAAAAGCATCTCTTTAAAATGGGTTAGGTTCCAGTAAAAGTCATTTTAAGTCAACACAACACACATTAGAATCTCATTGTTCCATGAAAACAATGGTGCTATAAAGAGTCCACTCTGGTTGGAGGCCAAGGCCCAACATTTTTTATTACAGGCCAAGATAATGGGAAAAGTGCTATTAAATTAAAATGTTATAGGTAGGACATTGGTTTCTGCAGACAGAACCGCAGTTCCAGCCAGGCATCTACGGAACAAGCCTTCGTGGAAACCACAGTTACCACTATGGGCAGCTGCCTGCCTGTAAACCACATCGCAGGACTTTCTGAAGTGTATGTAGGCAGGTACAATCAGGAGAACTCAGCCAGTGTGATACAATAGGTAAACATTGTTTCCTTTGTGTGTTTGCTAACTTCTAGTTTACTTTGACTTCAGTCAAGGTGAAGTAACCTTCCTCAAGGACAGAGAGTTTGGGGAAAATCAACCTGGGCAGATTTGGAAAGTGATTTTGAAACATACCTAGGGCTACTTACAACTTTTTATCAATAACAGCAACACAGAGATGGTTGATGGTGCCAACTTTATTCCTGTAAAGAAAAATATATATAGCCATCTAGGGGTCTCGATGCACTGGGTGCTTAGACCAAGGGTCTTTATAGGTTTTGAGAACTTCCTTGAGCAGAAATACTGCCTCAAACCTCAATACACACGAGTCTTCTAATTCCGCCGACCTCTTGATCTCCTGCTCCCTCTCACCTTACAATGTTAGGAGGACTCAAAGTGTAATGGGCAAAGTCAAAGCCCCAAACACAGTGCTCTGCTTGATTTGACTCCCATAAAGAGAAAGCTGTCTACCCGGGTCACACAGAGGGACTAGGGTAAATTCTAGAAGGCAGCCAGACCGAGCACACAACCAGCCCTGGGAGGGGAAGTTCATATTATGTCCCCAGGTTACTGGCTAATTTTTTTCCACAAACATAAAACTATTAAGTGTAATTGGGTTTGCTCCAGGACGTATAGAAAGCCTTTAAAGTGTGTGTGTGTTATTCAATCATTAACTTAGTTATTTCATTTGTAGTGGTTTTTCGCCCCCTAAGGAAATTGCAAAGATGTATTTCCAATATTGTGCTCTATAACATGAGATGTAATGAAAGAAAGAAAGAAAGAAAGAAAGAAAGAAAGAAAGAAAGAAAGAAAGACAGGAAAAAAGAAAGGCATTTAAATGTGCATTAGTAAAGTGATAGAGTGTAAGCAGGTTGGCCTGAGCTCCAGGCAGAAGGCTGAGGCCAAGAGATCACACAGAACCTAGTTTGCTTTGGGAGGTGAACCCAAGGAGGAGCCATGAAGGAGTGTGACAAAGAAAAGTCTTTATAAAGATAGATTACAAAACCGGAAAGTATTGGAAACTGGTGATTATTCAGGTAGGGGCCTCTATGGAACCGTGCACGCGCACACGCGCGCGCGCACACACACAACAATCCCTTTGGATTGTCAGCCTCTAAGATAGTATTGGGAGCATTTATTCACTGCCTCCCGTTCTCCATTGGGCAAGGTTTCTCCTGTGCGGATTAACACTGTCACACTTCCAAGTCTGCACAGACTCAAGCGCTAAGTGGGTCCCTATGGGCTTCCCACATGGGATGTGAGAAGCCCAAGACAGAAACTGAGAAATACAGTGTGGCTACAGCAGCGGGTTCATACCAGCTACGACCTATGGGACTGACAGAGTGAGTGA